CGCTAAATTCATATTCATCAATTGTCATAAAAATATATAAAAATAACTTTGTCAATAGATAACAAACAATTTTGTTGTTTTGCTTTTGGTACGTTATGTATAGGAGTCTGACTTGCTTATATATATATATATATATATATATATATATATATATAATTGCCATATATGATTTTCTGTGCAGAATTCTCGGTTGGTGAGAACGTGGTATTTAAAATATCTTGAAGCTCTCATCTTCAATTTGAGAATCGTGACTGCCAATGAGAGAGATCGTGACTTAACAATAAATAATCCCATACATATACATATATACATATATATACATACATAGATATATGCACACATATCTTGTCTTTGATTGCTATAAATTTCATTAAAGTAATTCTATTAATTTATTAGATATTTGATGAAAACGCAACAAAATGCAGAAAAATGTACTGGGGGGAAATTATATAATTTCAGCAATTTTTTGATGTGTAAAATGTTATACGTTAATTTTTTAATTTACTTACGTATATAAAGTTATTTTTAAAAATACTGTAAGTGGTATAGAAACTAGGTATAAGTGGTATTTTGGCTATGAACTTCCCGATTAATGTTAAAGATCGATTTAATCAATGAGAAGTGTTAGTTAAATTTTTAACTGTTCATCTCGAAAATAATGTGTATGGTATTGCAGCTCGAAAAAATACTATATATATATATATATATATATATATAATTACATTTCTCAAAATTACTAGTATTTAGCCTTTCACGACTATATAATTTTTTTCAAAAAAAAATCCCCAAGGGCCTGAATTCGTTTCCGAAGCGTGGGAGACGCCAATTATTATTTTGCGTCTTGAACTTTTAACATTCCGTTCTTATTCTTCTTGGTATGGATATATTATATAGTATGATTCACATTTCTTCATCTTCATCTTCATCATCATCATCGTACATGATTCCAAGTGGAATCTAATTGCTTAAGAAAAGTAGCGGGCGGGAAAAAATAAAAACACGTGGAAAAAATAAAAACACGAATCAAACAACGTATGAAAAATATGTATAGAATCTTGTAAGACATTTAATAAACAAAGGAAAATTTTTGAGGAATATTTTTCCATACGTTTTGACATACAGGATTTTATATTTGTATATATTTATATAAATCTTCTGCACGTGTGTTGTCACTAAACTGCTCTTAAACGACTTGTCGAATTTCTATAAATTATTTTGGAGTGTATCAATGCATATACAATATTGGTAAAGAACTAAAAAAATATAACAATAACGAAGAAAAAATGGGTAAAAAGCAATTTAGAACTTATTGTTCCCAAACTCTTAGTATGTTAAAAATTCAAGTAATAATATAAATAATAAATTACTTTCATCTTTACAGTCTCTAAAGCCTAACAAATTTATTTGAAATTTATTTATTTATTCATTTATATATTTTATTATTTGTATTTGAATGACAAAGATATTTGTTAAATTATAAGTAAAAAATATATAGTAGTAACTAAGACTAAATTATTGAATAATATTAAAATATATTCATTTTTACAAATAAATTTGCATAAATGTTAATTACTATTTATATATAATACTAATAATAGTTAAATTCTTTGTTCGTAAATTGTCATGTCAGTATTATTATTTACAAAAAAGTCAAAATTTAATTAAATTGATTTTACAATACAGTATTAGAAAATAGTATATATTATTTATTTTTAAACAAATTTCCCATATGTATCATTTATTTTAGAACAACATTTTAAAAGTTAGAAGATATATTAGGTTGTCAAATATCTCCCTTCCGCTTTTTTGCTATTGGTTTATAATACAAAAAGGCGGAAGGGAGATATTTGACAACCTAATATAATAAATAAATGCATGGCGATTATAAGTTATTTGATTTTGTACAAATTCTTTAAACACTTCACTTATTTTAAACCAATGATATAAAAGTTACAAGAGATATACTAAATGAATGCAAGGCAAAATGCCACTTACACATAGTGTATGATATTTAATTTACATTATTAAAAAATACAAAAATTCTAAGCAACGTCATAATTTTTTTTGGAAATAAATTTTATTCATCATCAGTATCATTTATTATCATTACTACCATTATAATTATTATCAATATTATCATTACCATCTTAATTATTTTTATTATCATTAATATCTTGACTACTCTTATTATTTATTATTTTTATTATTATTATTAAATTTTCAATATATTAAACTGTAGTGAAACTAATTTTAATATATCACACAGACGAAAGCAATTAATTAATTTGGTACGAGTTGTCTTAATTAGTCTTTGGAGTCGTAAACTCTTAATATGGTAAAGCATTGATGGCCAAAGCTCTTCTGCAATTTATTAATATGCAAATATACACTGATATATATATATATATATATATATATATATATATATATATATATAATAGAACTGGCGATATTCTAATTGGAATCACTTTTGTCGAGTGGCTCTGTTAAACTTCTTGATTAAATTTCGAGGACTGATTTGCATCTGAATATTAACTCGTACTTTTGAATTGGATGTATATATATATATATATATATATATATTTAGGTCAAAGTTCTGTACCACCACTTACAACAAATATTTAATTAACTATATTAGTTTCATGAAATCACCAAGAAATCGAAAAACAAACAAAAATGATTTTTAAATTATTGTAAATATTTTTGACGTTATGGAACAAGGTATTTAGCATCATCATATTTTATTCTAAGTGTAATATGCTAGAGATAACTTTAATTTATTCGAAAATACCAAATTTTTTTACACAAATAAAACAATCATATAAGAACAATGTGTAATCCAAGAAGACAGACTGACTGAAAAAATTATTTTGCACTATTAATACATTTTTATTTATTCAAAAGCTGAAGAGTTTAAAATGATGTAATAATTAAATATTATTTATTTCTACTTCAAATTTTATTTCAACATATTTTTAGCGTAGAGTTCAATGCAATTATTTTAGTGCAGTTGTTGGAATTGTTTTTCTTTTTCATCAAAACGGATATGAATGAATGGCTATATTTGAAACGGCTTTTGTGTTTATATTCCAGATATATATATATATATATATATATATATTATATATATAAATGTATATATTTATATATAAAGCAGGGCTCTGTACAATTGTTTACGCTTTATTTCCGTTATTTGCCTGAACAGTTGTTTGAGATGAGTTATTGAAAATAACTCTTGGAAAAAATACTCCTGAAATACATGCAGCAAAATGTATATAATACATATATATATATATATATATATATATATATGTATATATATATATATATATATATATATATATATATATTTGTATGAATATTGTTTCTCATTTTGACCAAACGTACTATTTCTAGCAAATTACTGACAATTAGGCAGATTTTGCTAAAAGCTCTTTTAACATTTAAGAAATGGGTCTGAAATAAATGATATATTTAAGGAAAATTCAAAGTTAAGTGGTATTTATTATTATTTATCCATGTGTTAAATAGTAATGAAAATGTATTACTTTGAATGTACTTCCATCAAATATTTTGTACTTCCAGTTTTGCTTCAATTGTTTTGTCTTAGATTTTTTTATTTTTATTAAACATATTTTAATGATAATATATTAACATTATTTTAATGAAGTTTACTTAGTTTTATAAAATAAAGTAGAGCTTTTTCATTAGTTTTATATTAGTTGATATTGATTAAGAACAATTTTGAAAATGACTTACTAAATTTAATTATTTTTAACGATTATTTAATAATGATCTTAACAATTACTCCGTCATTTATTAATATAATTTTTAAGTACTTCTCGAGCTGCTCTGTGAGCTATATAATAAATTAAATAAATAATAATAAATATATAAATTAATAATGTATAATATTTTCTTTTCATATAATTTGTTACAGTACACTTGGTACACTTTAAATCGATATTTTAATATATAAATCAGTTTTTGTGTATTTGTTTACTATATCTCTTGTAACTTTTATAACGTTGGTCTAAAGTATTATTATAATGCTCTACAGCAACTCGATATACTTTGCTCTACAGCAACGCTCTTCAAAGTAAACAAAAAACTTAATTACAATCAGGAAATGCTACAATTATTTGGTATATCTCTTGTAACTTTTAAATCGATCTAAATTAAATAGTACATTTACAAAATTTGTAGAGTATTAAATTACGCATAATATTTTTTAACACTTCAAAAATCTACAGCAACTCGGTGTACTTTAAAACTTTGTTCAAAAGCATAATTGACAATTTGAATCAAAGTTTCTTTTGTGAATTGGACTGAATGTTTTTTTATGCACTTCATATATTTATTTGCAAGTAGCACTCGCCGATATGCAATATATATATATATATATATATATATATATATATATATAAATACAAAAAATAGGTCTGTCTACAAATATAATTAAAATAAAAAAGCCTGACATGCAGCAAACATTAAGACATATATTTTTGCTTCAGCTAGACACAACACAATATATATATATATATATATATATATATATATATATATATATATATATATATTAGCTACAAGATCGCGATAAAAACAAAAATCAAAAACTTCATAATGTCATGTTTTTTATTTGTATTATAACTTTATGAATAATTTTACATCATATCATGCTCATATGATTTTTTATGATGGATTGATCGTTTTTTTGCGTGACAAGTTTTATTTTGTGACATTTCTCGAAAATATAAAAATGTAATATATACACACACTATATGTATACATACATACATACATATATATATATATATATATATATATATATATATACGAGATATATACTAAATATTATATAAATATTTATATTGATACCAATATTTATTTGCACGCTTTTCGTCCTGATTTAGGATTGAGATGTAAGTACTCCGAAAAAATACTAATTTTTATAAATATATATTTTACCCTGATATTAAATTTAATTTTTTTTCCTCCAGATACGGACAACCAGAGAGTCATAGTCCACGTCAGGGATGTAAATGACGAGCCGCCTTATTTTATAAATCGGCCCTTACCAATGCAAGCTGTAGTACAACTAAATGCACCCCCAAATACACCAGTTTTTACCCTCCAAGCCAGAGATCCTGACACTGACCACAATATTCACTATTTTATAGTCAGAGACAGAACTGGGGGTAGATTTGAGGTAAGAAAAAATGCCTGGTAGTAATAATGGTTTGACTCAAAAATGGGATATAATGGTATGGTTTCAATGAGGTTTAGGAGTACACATGGTTGTCTAAGGTCATTTTGGTACTAGACAAACTTTTTACTCATTCAATTCCACACAAATTTGCTTAACATTTCATATACCCAACACAAACCGTTTACAAGTTACATCAACTCAACCAAAAAAAAGTCCTTTACCCTCATGAGTATTTTTCCTCCCAAGTTTATGAAATATCAGGAGTCGTCGATATAATGGTTTTGACTTCAATAGCGTTTAGGAGTACACACAATTGTCTAAGGTCATTTTGATCTTAGACAAACTTTTTACTTATTCAATCCCACACAAATTTCTCAAACATTCCATATACCTAACACCAACTAATTATTAGTTACATCAACTCAACCAAAAAAAAGTCCTTTACCCTCATGAGTCTTTTTCCTCCCAAGTTGATGAAATATCAGGAGTCGTCGATATAATGGTTTGACTTCAATGGGGTTTAGGAGTACACAGAGTCGTCCTAGCGACTTTTGATACTAGACAAACTTTTTACTCATTCAATCCCACACAAATTTTCTTAACATTACATATACCTACCACTAACTAATTACTAGTTACATCAACTCAACCTAAAAAAAGTCCTTTACCCTCATGAGTCCTTTTACACCAGGTTGATGAAAGATCAGGCGTCGTCCGAAGTAGGGGTACAGATGCCTTCCAACTGGACATGGAATATGTTTTGTATGTAAAAGCTGAAGATCAAAATGGTAGAGTCGATGACAAGAGGTTTCAAGCTACTCCTGAGGAAAGATTGAGCATCGTTGGAGGCAAACGCGCGCCACAGTTTTACATGCCGAGCTATGAAGCTGAGATTCCTGAAAACCAGAAAAAGGACTCTGAGTAAGTAGAAATGAATGTGCTGTAAGTTTTTGATTATTTTAAATATGTTTGTGGCATGTTTTGATGATTTTTAGATTATAGTTTTAGCTTTCGATTGGTGAAAAAATGTTTGAAATCGGTTTGTTGGTTTTTGAGATATTTGGGGTACTAGGATAAAATGCTTAGTTTTTGAACATCTACGTTTAGGCGTTCATATTTACCAAAATTTTTATTTTACGATTTTGAACTATACTGATCATTTTAAGAGTATACTTCTATAATTTCAGCAAAATTTACTATTTTGAATTTGATCTATTAGTTTTCAACTTATACAACAATTTGTATGCACACAACATTTTGCAAGGTTTCAAAAATATTAGGGATGTGATCTAGAATTGCTGTATATAATTTTTTATAGTGTTAGCATATTAGCATAAAATGTACACTATAGTATCGTGTATTGAACAGTATATTTATTAATTAAATCGAACTATTATTTTTAAAATTTTATTTATTTTGCAAAGTCTTGGCTTTCGATTGATGTAAAAATTTTTGAAATCCCTTTGTTAGTTTTTGAAATGTTTGGGGTGTTAGGATAAAAGCACATTTTTTAGACACGTAAGTTTGATGGTTCATATTTTTCAAAATTTTTAGTGTGCGTTTTTGGGCTATTCAGATTATTTTTAGAGCATACTTTTAGTTTTGCAGCAAAATTTACAATTTTGAATTTTGTGCATTAGTTCTTGACTTATACAACAATTTCTACACACACCACATTTTGCAAACTGTCTACAATGCCAAGGATGTGATTTAAAATTGTTGTGTATATTTTTTATAGTATTAGCTTAATTTTGGGCTATGGTGTATCAAATTAGCTATGCAACTACATATAAATTATGAAAATCAAAATATCCATTATAAAGATACAAAATAGTTTATGGCACCCTATATGGAATTTCACCAATATGCACTACTTTATATTTAGCACTAACATAAACTTTGATTATCTACAGCTTTTAAACTATAATAGCTACAATAATACAATATTAGCATAAAATGTACACTATAGTATCGTGTATGTAACAATATAACTATTATTAAAATCGAACTATTGATTTCTATGTTTCGATTTTTTTTGCAAATGCGTTTCATCCCAAATTGTTTTGCAAATCGTCTATAATATCAGGGATGTGATCTAAAATTGTTATATTTATATTTATGTAGATTTAGCTTCATTTTTAACTATAGTGTATTGAATTAGCTATTCAACTACATATAAATTATCAAAATCAAATTATGCACTATAAAGATACAAAATAGTTTATGCACCCTATATGGAATTTCACCAATAAATACTACTTTATATACAAGACAAACATCAACTTTGATGAACTACAGCTTCAAAACTATAATAGTTACAATAATATAACATTAGCATAAAATGTACACTATAATATTGTGCATGCAACAATATAACTGTCATTAAAATCGAACTATTGGTTTCAAAGATTCAATTTTTATTGCAAGTGCGTTTCATCCCAAATTGTTTTGCAAATCGTCTATAATATCAGGGATGTGATCTAAAATTGTTATATATAAATTTATATAGCTTTAACATAATTTTGAGCTATAGTGTATTAAATTAGCTATGCAACTACATAAAAATTATCAAAGTTGAAATATGCATTATAAAGATACAAAATAGTTTTTATAGCACCTCATATAGAATTTTTGCCAATACGTACTACTTTATATTCAAGTCTAACATCAACTTTGATGAACTACAGCTTCTAAACTATAATAGTTACAATAATATAATATTAGCATAAAATGTATACTATAGTATCGTGTATACAACAGTATATTTGTTATTAAAATCCAATTATAAATTTTAAAGTTTTTATTTATTTTGCAAATGCGTTTCATCCCAAATTGTTTTTCAAATCGTCTATAATATCAGGGATGTGATCTAAAATTGTTGTATATAAATTTTTTATTCAAAATCAAATTTTGAACTATAGTATATTAAATTAGCAATGCAACTACATATAAATTATCAAAATTAAATTATGCATTATAAAGATACAAAATAATTTATGCACCCTACGTGGAATTTTACCAATATGTACCACTTTATATATTCAGCACTAACATAAACTTTGATGAACTACAGCTTCAAAACTATAATAGCTACAATAATATAATATTAGCATAAAATGTACACTATAGTATCGTGTATACAACAGTATATTTATTATTAAAATCCAACTATTACTTTTGACGATTTTTTATATTTTGCATAGGCGTGACATCTTAAATGGTTTTGTATGAAAAGCAAGTACAAATTTTGGTGAGCTATAGCTCTTAAACTATAGAATTTAAATTTGCATAATGTTAGTACAAAATGTACTATAAAGTCTTATCTTTGCAACAACAGTTTGTTCATCAAAATCCAACAAACCAACTCCAAAATATAATATAATTTACATACACGTTACATCTCTCTGTATGTTTATTCAGTTTACGTATATGCAAATTGCTAACACACATTGTACTTCAAAGAGTTTCCAGGAAGTTTATAAATGATTTCTAAATTTTATAATTTAACTTTCTAACTAATTAGAAAATAATTACACAGAATGGAATTGAAAAAAAACAGCATTTTTGCCGAAAAAATTGGTAAAATCTATATATTTTTTTCTCTTTTTCAGCATCATTTCAGTAAAGGCCAAATCCTTCGCAGATCGCGAAATAAGGTACACCTTGAAGGCCCAAGGCCAAGGTGCAGGTACTTTTAACATTGGGCCTACTTCTGGCATCGTAAAATTGGCCAAAGAATTGGATTTTGAAGACCTAAGACAACCTCATGTTTATTCTTTGGTGGTGACAGCCACTGAAGACTCTGGAGGCTTCTCAACATCTGTCGAGGTAAGAATTTTACGATTTTTAAGTACACCGAGTTGCTGTAGGGCTTTGGGATATTAGACAATATTTTTGATAATTTAATTTTGTACAAATTTGTTGAATATGTTGTTTGGATTCAACGAATGGTTTGGAAGTTACATGAGATATAAGAAAAATTGTACTGCGACGTGATGATTTTGTTTCACTGTTATAAATTGGTGTATAGGAGTGGACAGAGTTGTTATAGGGCATTCTGTTGTTAGACAAATTTATACATGGTTTAATTTTAAACAAATTTGCCAAAGGTTTCGTTCAAATTAAATAAATAGTTTAGGATTTATGCACAAAATACGAAACGCGGTTTACTTTTTTTAGATCACTTTGCATCACTTGGTAGATTCTTTGTACTGATAGAGGCAATTTGTTGAGTTCGATGTCGATTTTTAAGAATGAAAACTAATTTTAGATAAATTTGGCCTGAGACAAATTTATAGATGATTTAATTATCTAAATATCTTATGAATATTTTATTACTCTGTATTAAAAAGTTTATAAATTATCCTATAAATAATGCAACGATGCTCCATATAACTCCATATATCATTTTTGTTATTGCTCTTAATGTTGTTCAATATCGAATTCAATATCGATTTTCGAGTATAAAAAGTAGTTGTAAGTAATTTTGATCTTTAGAAAACTTGTAGATAATTTACATATTTAAAAATACTGTAAATATTTTATTAAGTTATCTTCACTAGTTTAAGAGTTATACCTAAAATACTAAAAGAATGAAAAATTACATGAGATTTAACTTAAATTGTACTTCGACACGATGATTTTGTTTCACGACTGAGTCGTTTCAAGTAGACTGAGTTGTTGTAGGGCATTTTGTGGTTAAACAAATTTATGCATTATTCAATTTTAAACAAATTTGCTGAAGGTTCCATCAAATTTAAACAAATAGTTTATGATTTATGCACAAAATACAAAACAAATGTTCTTGGTTCACTTTTTTTTACTAACAAAATGCCAATTTTAAAGCATTCTAAGTTGCTGCAAAGTGTTGGCATATAAGAAAACATTACAGATAATTCAATTCTTCACCAATCTCCCGAATATTTCTTGTACTTCAAATGAACCGTTCAAAAGTTACAAGCATCTTTCTAACCCAATATCTTTTTTCAGCTGACCATTAGGGTAACAGATGTGAATGACAATGCCCCTAAATTCGAGTTGCCAGATTATCAAGCCCATAATGTCGATGAAGATATTCCTTTAGGCACATCTGTCCTAAAAGTAAAAGCTGCTGATGCTGATTCAGGAGCAAATGCTGAAGTCGAATATTTGGTTTCTGATGAACATTTTTCTGTGGACGCCGGAGGAGTCATTACTAATAATAAACAGTTGGATGCTGATAATAATAATGCTTATTACGAGTTCCAGGTAAGGGAAAGGACTAGTACAAAATTTTAACAAAAACTGACAATTGTTTTTTTCATGAACTTTGGCAACATCCGACAATTGTTTTTTTTCTAGGTGACTGCCCAAGATAAAGGTGAACCTGCCAAAACTGGTACAGCAACTGTTCGTGTTTACACCAAGAATAAAAACGATGAGGAACCTAAGTTTTCTCAACAGGTAAATAAACATTTTTGTTGTACTTAATCTTTAATTTGTGGTCTTTATTTTTACCAATTTGTAGGTTTATACCCCAAATGTGGACGAAAATGCTGGTCCAAATACTTTGGTAACTACAGTAGTAGCCAGTGACAAAGATGGTGACAATGTTCGATTTGGTTTTGTTGGAGGTGGAACCAGTTCTGGCCAATTTGTCATTGAAGACATTACTGGTGTCATCAGATTACATGGTAAGTAACAAACTAGTGGTGTATGGCGTTGAGCCTTAAGGGAAATTGCTTGAACTTCCTGTACCGTAATGAAATAGTCGAAAAATTTCAAACGTTTTCAAATACTCGTTATACATACAAGACAATACATTTATTTCAAGATTTAATTTAAGTAGAATACTGCAATTTTAGTATATCATTCTTCAATGTATATATTAAATTATTAAATACAAAAATTTATATATTTTTATACAAAAATTATGAGAAATTATCAAAATGAAACAAAAATGTACTCGTGGTACACACCAGACAATATACTTACATTATAGAAATGATTTACAGTATTTGATTCAACATTTTCTTACAATAAAACGGTTTGCATTAGATTGTTGTAATTTTAGCATATCATTTTTCAATGTATATATAAAAATAATAAATACAAAAAATTAAACGTTTTTGTACAAAAATTACAAGGAATTATAAGAATGAAACAACGATGCACAGCAGACAATATACTTACATAATAGTAAATGATTTACAGTATTTGATTCAACATTTTCTTACAATAAAACCGTTTGCATTAGATTGTTGTAATTTTAGCATATCATTCTTCAATGTATATATGAAAATAATAAATACAAAAAATTAAATATTTTTATACAAAAATTACAAGAAATTATATAAATGAAACAAAGATGCACAGCAGACAATATACTTACATAATAGTAATGATTTACAGTATTTGATTCAACATTTTCTTACAATAAAACCGTTTGCAGTCGATTGTTGTAATTTTCATTCTTCAGAGTATATATAAAAATAATAAATGCAAAAAAATAAACGTTTTTATACAAAAATTACAAGGAATTATAAAAATGAAACAAACAGATGCACAGCAGACAATATACTTACGTAATAAAAATGATTTACAGTATTTGATTCAACTTTTTTTACAATAAAAACGTTAGCAATAGAATACTGCAATTTTAGTATGTTATTCTTCAGACTACATATAAAAATATTAAATGCAAAAAATTACACGCTTTTATACAAATTTTACGAGAATCGAATAAAAATTAGATAAGATTGTCTAAAACTTTTACAGGTTGCTTAAATTCAAAAAATCAAACTAAAAAAATCTAGCATTTATATGGAACCAATAGGCAAATCGATTTTGCTACAAAAATTGCATTTTTTGTAATAACTAATAAATTTTCTATACTTTTATTTTTTTATTTGAGTCTTCCTAAAGTTTCCTTTATTCAATCATATTGTCCATCACGTCTTTAAATCCAAAATTGCCATTTTTAAATTAAGTTAATATTACAAATACTGTAACTTTTATTACTTTTGCTATCTTGTTATATCTGAGCAAATCAAATTAACAATCGTCATTTTATTTCGAATTCAATTTCAAAAAAATAGTTGCCTAATTTACACAAAATTGAAAAAGTGCTCCTATAGTCACAGTCTAAACGCACTTGCAAACAATTTTGTGCAACATTTTCACTTATATTATGCTTAGCTTGGCGACATTTTCACATTTTTCAATAGTAATCACAAAATTTGCAGTTTTCACAAAATAGTTATCACAATTGAAAAATGTGAAAATGCCGCCAACATAAGCACAGTATAAGTGAAAATGTCGCACAGAATTATTTGCAAATGCGAATATAGACTGTGACTATACGGGAGCACTTTTTTAATTTTGTGTAAATTAGGCAACTATTTTTTTTTTTGAAATTGGATTCGAAATGAAATGACGATCGTTAATGTTCTGGAGATAAATTGATTTATTTATGATATACATTTGATTTGCTCAGATATAACATACAAGATAGCAAGAATAATGAAAGTTACAGTATTTGTAATAATATATTTGAAAACGTTTAAAATTTCTCGAATATTTCTTTACGGTACGAGAAGTTCCAACAATTTGCCTTAAGGCACGATGCCATACACCTTCAAAACGTCGAGAAATGCAAAAATTTTCACTTTTGATTTTCGGCCCATTACTATAACTACCCTACGGGAAGTAATAACAGTGCAATGAAGCCCTGGATAATTAATCTTTTATCCTCTAGGTAAGGCAATTTCTCTGGATCGTGACAAGTACGAACTAAATGTGACAGCAATGGACGATGGTGCTTGTTGTGCCAATGGTGAAAGAACAGTTCATACTTCAACAGCAGTTGTTGTTGTTTTCATCACCGATGTCAACGACAACAAACCAGTTTTCCGAGACTGTGCAACTTATTACCCAAAAGTTGAAGAAGGTGCTCCAAATGGTAGCCCTGTCATCAAAGTGCATGCTACTGACGAAGACAAAGGAGTCAATGGACAGGTATTCAATTTTTTAAATTACATAATAAGTAATACATCATAAACTGATATTCAGATAATTTAATTTATAAAAAATTTCATAGCCAAGAGTAAAAACAGAAGTCAAAGTTTTCCCAAGATTCTGCGTGTGCACGTTAACCTAAAACGACGCGTCGATCTAGGTTGCGTGCACTTTTAGGCAAAAACTAGCGCCTAACTGTATTTATTAGGAAAACAATATACAATATGAAGTCAAATAGTAAAATATGACTTATAGTACTATTATAAATATTTTATAAATAAATTGAGTACAAGGCTATGTTTATATTACATATATTGCAAATTGCAAACTTGGACATACTGTAGCGAGTTCAAACCTAATTTATTTGAATTTTTTGTATAGGAGTATTTGTTATTAATTATAGGAATATGTAGTAAATTACATTTAGTTCCTGCTAAACAAATGAAAATAGAGTGCTAGGTACAAAGTTTTTGAGTTATTCAAAGAAATGTAGAAAAATGTCCTGAATTTTCTATTGCATTTAACAAGATATCGATTTCAACGTCATTTCATTCAACAATTTTATATCGGATTGTATATTAGGTTCTTTTATGTGAGTTTTGTTTCAAGAGCTTCTCAAAATATTAAGATTTTTTTATTATTTAATTTTCTTTATTAAAAATGTTATATATACCTACTTTTTTAATTTATTTTATGTATACTAGTATATATTGTAATAATAATATTAAAAGAAAACAAAGATTTAACAAAATTGAGTATCGGCGTTCTAGTACAAGAAATTATTATTTTTTGAAAAGCTCCTCAAGTCGTAAAATTTGTTGAAAGATGTTGAAATTTTAATGTCATTTTTCAATATATTATATTAATACTAAAAATACAAAACATATATGTCGTTTAAGAAAATATTAAAAAAAAATACCTCATTAAAATGTGCATCGGCGTTTAATTATTCTATATAATAATAAACAATTATAAATTACCCTTTGTTTGAAGAGCTCCACAGGCTAAACAAGTTGTTGTAAGGCTTTGAAATTTTAATATGTTATTTTTTAGTATATTATATGAATATTAAAATTAAAAGTAATATATGTTGTCTTGGAAAAATCAATTAAAAAAAATATTTTACTAAAATGTGCATCAGAGCCCTATTAACATGTATTTAATTTTGTTTAAAGTTTTCGTACTTATTTGAAGAGCATCGAGATACATCAAATGGCTTTTAAATTTCTGAAATCAGTCTTTCATCAACATCGATAAAAGGTCCAATTTTGACAAATACCAAAAAAACTATACTAATTTTTGCAAACTTTGACGAATTTTTAAAATTAAACTACTTGTCGTAGGGCCGTAATATTTAAGTATGATTTAGAAGACTATAGTATCTACCATGAAAAAAATAATAATAAAAATCGCCGAAAAAAATTTTTGACACTTTATTATAAGAAAACCGCTCGGCCAATCTCTACCAAAAACTAATCAGTACGATTCCCAATCAATATCTTTCGAATGGTTTTTGAATTTTCAGAATAGATTCAGAATTGCGGGCTAAAACGTGAACAAAAAAATTTTCATCGTTCTGCTATTTATAAAGAATCGGCTTGGCTGATCGTCGCACAAAACTGACAAACAATAGTCCTCGTTTAGATACATCGAATGGCTTTTAAATTTCTGAAATCGGTCCAGTCGCTTTTGAGAAAACGACGATTTACGGCAAAAAAACAGACATACTTGTTTTTTAAATTTGGTCTCATTCGATTCAGAATGTCTTGAAACGTGCAGGAGAAAACATAAAATTAGCGAATCGGATTTTTTGATAAAAACATAAAGTTCTCCTTCGGGAAGTTAATTATGTGTGTGCAGAGGCCAATAATAAATTTCTGGTTTTCCTCCAGGTTAAATACTCCATAGTGCAACAACCTAACCAAAAAGGTACCAAGTTTACTGTCGACGAAGAAACTGGTGAAGTCTCCACCAACAAAGTCTTCGATCGTGAAGGAGATGATGGTAAATTTGTATCAGTAACTGTCAAAGCTACTGATCAAGGTGAACCTTCTCTGGAAGGCGTTTGTTCTTTCACTGTTGAAATTACTGATGTCAACGACAACCCACCTTTGTTCGACAGACAGGTAAGTAGACAAAATAACCAAAATTTTTGGAACATGTTAGTCAATCTATTTTTTATCAGAAATATGTCGAGAATGTAAAACAAGATGCCTCAATCGGCACCAACATTCTTCGAGTGTCAGCTTCAGACGAAGATGCTGATAACAATGGTGCTATTGTCTACACCTTATCAGCTCCTTATAATCCAGCTGATTTGGAATACTTTGAAATCCAACCTGAAAGTGGATGGATTGTCTTGAGGAAACCTCTTGACGTGAGTATTTTTATTTTTGTCTCGCTTTGGTACTTAAAATTTTGTGTAGAACATTTTTTTGGGGAGCTGGTAATTTGAAGTTTGTGGTAAGGAAATTGTCAAATATTTATGAATATTTTTTGTATTTTGGAGCATTGTATCTGGTATATATATGCTAAATTTGATGTCATTTTTATGAAAACTACAGGAGCAAACTCCATGGGCATTTTGCCCTCGCCACCACCTGCAAGAAGATTTTTTACCATTGTGGTTGATCCAAATTCCAAAAAAGTTAGAAATACTTGAAAATTATATAATCAACATTTGGATAAACCCTTTAGAAAATAGTTGCTGCAAATTTTATCAAATTTGACACATTTGTTTGCAAACTACGTTTGTCACCAGCTGATCAGCACATTATTTTTGACAAAACAAATCCAAAACGCTGCAACTTCTACAATTTTTCTTCAATAGTTTTGAAATTTTAGCAAAAAATTCTCGGTAAAACCTTATATATTTAAACCAAGTTTGAATTCAATTGGCCAAATACTTCAGCTAGAACTCTATTTGGAGCTTTTTACCAACAATTCCAAGATTAGCCATTGTGCTTTTATACCAATGCTGTCATATGATCACAAATTTTTACACGAACCTTTTACAAAACTTTTGTTGCAAATTTGATCAAATTTGATTCATTTGCTTGGGAAATACGTTAATCACCAGCTGATCAGAATACATTTCTAGGCAAAACAGATCCAAAATGGTGCAAATTTTTCAATGTTTCTCTAATAATTTTGAAATTTTAGCAAAAAATTCTCGGTAAAACCTTATATATTTAAACCAAATTTGAGGTCATTTGGACAAAAACTTCAGCCAGAACTCAAATTCGAGTTTTTTTACCATCAATTACACGTAGATCCATCGTGGTTTCAAGACCAATGTATTCGTATTATTACAAATTTGTAGACAAGCTCTTTACAAAACTTTTGTTGCAAATTTGAATAAATTTGACTCGTTGTTTTGAGAAACACGTTGATCACAGTTGACAGAACACCATTTTTAGACAAATTAACTCCAAAACGATGCAACTTCTACAATTTTTCTCCAATGACTTCAGAATTTTAGCAAAAAATTTCTAATACATTGCCAGATCCAGCAAAAATATTTTAAACAAATTTTTAGAAGCGCAACCTATTTTTTTTTATCAACTACATATACCACACCAGCAAAACGTGCAGGTTTACCTTCAAATGGTGATAGACAAATTAGTTTCAAAACGCTGCAACTTCTATGATTTTTCTCCGATGACTTCAAAATTTTAGCAAAATATTGTTGATACATTGCAAAATCCAGCAAAAATATTTTAAGCAAATTTTTATAAGTGCAACCTAACTTTTTTTACCAATTACAAATACCACACTAGTAAAACGTTCAGGTTTACCTTCAAATGGTAATAGACAAATCATGTTCAAAACGCTGCAACTTCTACAATTTTTCTCCAATGGCTTTGAAGTTTTAGCAAAATATTTCTGATACATTGCAAAATCCAGCAAAAATATTTTAAGCAAATTTTTATAAGTGTAACCAAATTTTTTTTACCAACTGCACTCACCATATTAGCAAAACGTGCAGGTTGGCCTTCAACTAGTGATTATTGGGGATGTATTTATTAAATTTGAAATGTTTTAACAAATATTGTTAGCTGTAGGCCTTGTTCAACATATTTTAGCTACAAACTTCAAAATATCAGCTCGTGTATTTGTATAATCTAAGTAAACAACTTGGGGCCACATTTAATTTTTACTATTTTAAGCCAAAATGTGTCTTCAAATTGTGTTTTTACTTTTAATACTGTACTAACTTTTTATATACTTAGGTAAACTGCTTATAAATCCTTAATTATAACAAATTGGTCCCTCTAAATTGATCCTAACTAACTCTATGTCTAGTTTAAGCTATTATATATTGATAAAACTGACTTTTGATGGTTATTTCAGCATATTTTCATTATGCTTATTTATTCATGGTTTCTTTAAGCACAATTATTGAGATTTTTGGTTGCAATTAGGTAAAAAAATGGACTAATGAATAATTATATTGTTGTTATCAAAATTTATGGAAAAATGTATGTATATGACTTTTTCATGATTCTCTAATTTGATGTTTTTTTTGCAGAGCACCAATTTTTGTGTTTTAACAAATGCATAAGATGCGATTTTAGCGATTTTTGGTAATAGATTGTAAAAAAATATAATATGATATTTTGCCTTAGTAACTTTGACCAATAAATTTGGATTTTATAGCAATAATTGCTGCAATAGCTTTTGTGGTTGATTCAATATTGCATTTATAAGATCAACTTTTAGACAAATCCTGCAGAAATTTTTTGTTGCAAATTTTCTCAAAAATGACACATTTGTTTTAACAATATGTTAATCAACAATTGATCAGAATAGAAATTTTGGACAAGAGAAATTCTAAATGCTAAAACTTATAGTATATATAAGTTCAAATATTTAAATTTTTGAACCAAAATTTGCATATTGGTGCACTAAAATTTCAATTTTCTCTCATATCTTGCAAAAAAATGATTTTAAGACTAGAAATATAGTATCTCATGTATATAAGATAATATTTTAAGAACCATAAGTCAACTAGGTTCAGATATTCCAATTTTAGCCAAAAAAGTGAAAAAATTACAAATTGGTGCACCAATTTTTTTTGTTTTTTCTCCTATTTCTAGACAATATTGAATTTAAGCCTAGAAATATAAATATTTTAAAAACATAATTTCCATAAGTTTATGTATTACAGTTTCAGTCAAAAAATTGAAAAAATTGTAAATTGGTGCACCAAAATTTCAATTTTCTCTTGTACTCTTGCAAAATAATGAAATTAAACTCAGAAATAATGAATCTTAGGTACAAACTTTGAAAATATACTCAATAATGCATCTTGAATTTTGTAATTCAGCCAAAAAAATTTAGAAGAATTTTGGACCCAAAAAATTGGTCACCAATTTTAATCAAGACCTCAAACTTTATAATTTATATAAAAATTGGTCATTTTTAATAATTTTTATTGAAAACAATGCACACCAAAAAATAAATAAACTCTTTTCTTTTACATCCACCAATTTTTTTAACCAATTTTTAAAAATACGATCCAAAATAATTTTTTTTCATATACCAAGACAATATTTAATTTAAGCCTAAAAATATAAAATCTCATGTATATAAGATAATATTTCAAAAATCCCCATAAGTTTAGATATTCCAATTTTAATTAAAAAATACTAAAAATTGCAAATTGGTGCACCAAAAATTCAATTTGCTCTCGTACTCCTGCAAAATAATTAATTTAAGTCCAGAAATATTAAATCTTAGGTACCAAAAATTACAGAATTTGAAAATATACTTAATAATGCATTTTATAATTTGTAATTAAAATTTTGGATCCAAAAAATTGATCACCAATTTTAATAAAGACCTCAAACCTAATGATTTATATAAAAATTGGTCGTTTTTAATAATTTTTTCTAAGAACACTGCACGCCCAAAAATTAAAAACTATATTCCTACACATCCACCAAATCTTGGTGAATCCAAAAACACCGATTTTGCCACCAATTTTTATTTAACCAATTTTTAAAAATACGATTTATCCAAAAATCTGCTTTTTTATAATCGCATAATATGCATTTGTTATATTGTATATTGAACGAATGATTTCCATTTGTACGGCACCAGTTATTGAAAAAAAAATAAAAAAAAAATGATGGAACCAAAATATTTTTGATAAATTTTTGAAAATATTTTTGAATTTTTTTTAAAAAAAATGTGGATAATGTGCTTTTTGAAGTCCATATACATGTGTAATAAAATTATGATGCAAAAAGTTTGATTTTGAAACTTGAAGGAAAAATTTGTAATAATATAAATAAATGTTAATTATCAATTCTTTATCATGATCAAGCTTTTTGTGTTCAATTTTTCACCAATTATTTTTGAGGTGAAAATCAAATTTTTAGAATTTTTGTGATGTGATTTTTTGCAAAACACAGATCCCAAAAATTCCCCAAAACGTCGCAACTTTGAAATATATTTTAAAAACCAAAAAAATTAACCAATTTTCTAACATGCTGCTTTATACGAGGAGATCACCAGCCAAAGATGGTCCAGAAATTTTTTGAGTCGCCAAAATAGTCTCCAAAAAATGCAAATTTTGTTAAAACTGAAATTTAATTGTTGTTTTTTTATTTTAATGCTGATCGAGGACTTTTTGGTGCAACATCTGGACCAAAGTCTGGACCAATTTTTTGTTTATTTATATTTTTGCACAGACTAAACACGAATTAAATATACATAAAAATTTATGTTTATATATAAATTTATATTTATATTTTCTTTGGTGTTTATTCTGTGCAACACCAAATTTTTGAGCCAAAAAAAAAATTGCAGACATATTTTGTCGGCAGATTGTTATGACCAAGGTATTTTTGAGTGTCTAAAAAAATTTGACAAAAGGATTTACAAACCAAAAAAACGGGCAAGTAATTTTTTTTAAATTTAGACGATGGAAAATATTTATGAAAAAAATGTTGACTGACTACCAGGACTTGCAACAATTTTTTTTTACCAATATTGTACAAGGATAAAAAATAATTTTTATCTTGTGAACAATATTACCAAGACGACTTGAGACATGTTCAATATTTTTTTTTGATTTTTTATCGATTTTTTGGTTTTCTGAAAATTTTGTTTGAATTTTTGAATATTTTGTTTGAAGGAACAACCGAGATTTTTTTTTTGAACCCGAAATGAAAAACAACTTGCATGCGTGTTAAGTTCCAATTTTTTATTTACCTACCTTAAATTACATTTTTTTTTCAAATTTTATTTTGTGTATATAAAAGTCTGTACATATATAAAATTTGCAAAATTTGCCAAAAACAAAAAGCAAATGGCTTGGAAATTTGATGCTTTTTTTTCAAATTATACAAAAAATATGTACTTGTGTTT